TTTGAATACCTTGATAACGGCTCAAAATCATCTTACAATTTTGATAAAGCATTGTTGAACATATGGTTTCTGACGTCAAGGTCTTAGTAACTCAAAACGGCCAAAAATGTCAGACAGAACTTTGTAATTCATGGGTAGCCAAATGTGTTCACAGCAGCAGCTGGTTCCCCTCACCTGGCAGACTTGGTCGCGTTGACAAAGATGACCTCCAGAGCCTCGATGTCGCTGCGGAACTTGTTGGCCAGCTTGTTGTGCTCGTGGGTCATGGCCTTGAACCTGGTGTTAAGGTCACGGAGACTCTGCTCCATGCCGTGGGAGTGACGGTTCACCCGCTCCGCGTGCATCACCAGCTCGGCTGGGGAAATGATGTGAATAAATGGTATACGTTTCACGCCCCTATCAACACCATAAGGTTATTTAAGAGGCGGGACCTCCGACCTTAACGTCCATCTCCAAAAGGACAGAGCCAAATGGGAAATTTGCGTAAAGTGTCTTTCCTAAGGACACGCCGTCGGACCGAGCTGACGCTCAAACCCCGAACCCGCAATCTCACGATTACGAGTCCGGTAGCCTAACTACTAGCTTACCCGAGACCAAAAGCTCTTTCTCCCCTCGACGCCCTAGATGGTACAAGAGGAAAAATAAGTAAAGTATAGTAAGGGACCTCTGAGTTTAAGTCACCTCCATCTCCGAAAGGACCGAGCCAAATAGTAGATTCGTGCGAGGTGCCTTTCCCAAGGACACAACGTAGGACCGAGTTGACGCTCGAACCCCGAACCTGCAATCTCACGATTATGGGTCCGATAGCCTAACCACTAGAACTACCGATGTCAAGCTCGGCAGTAAGGAACAAATAAGAGAAAGATGGAGAAAGAGAGAGAGAGAGAGAGAGAGAGAGAGAGATTCGTGGGTGTTGCACGTGCTGGGTGAGCAAAGCTGGACGGATGGAGGGGGGGGGAGAGGGGGGGAGAGGGTGCTAAAGAACGAATAAGCACGTTGGGCATCAAGAAAATAGTCTCTGAAACGGAATCAGTAAGTCCTTTCTTCAGTCAGAAAGTCAGTTGTCGAGTCAACCTGTCAGTAAGTCATCTAGCCATTCAGTCAGATTGGGAGTACGTCCGTATGTCACATAGTCAGCTGACCAGTCAGTCATGGAGTCAGTCAGTCAGTCAGTCGGTCAGTCAGTCCGTCAGTCAGTCAGTCAGTCAGTCGGTCTCTATGGCAATAATGAAGTCAGTCATCACGTCAGCCTTCGAATCATCTCTGCTTACACACCGTCTTAATTAAATGACATTACAAAACATCAGAAACCTGTACAACTGAGACAATAAAAATGCCAAAATGTATAGATTTACGCCTTTTGTATTCAGGTCATTTCTTTGCCGCGTGTATGAGTGAGTACCCGTGACCTTTGGAACACTACAGCCATTGTAAACAACCAAGACAAACAAACAAGCAACACGCACGTCCAGACATTGTAAAGTACCACGACAAAACAATCAACAACACGCACTCACCAGCTCTCACGTTGTGCACGTCCAGCTCCGCCCGGCGAGGTCGGGGTTGGTGCAGGTGAAGGCGGAGGTCCAGCTCGCTGTTGAGTTCCTCGCACTGCGGACAGTGGACAATGGACAGTGGTCAGACCCAATTGTGAGGCAACGTGGTTAAATCAGGCGTTCGTCAAAATAATGAAATCGAAGAAACTGTCATTTTCCTGGCCTTTGGGCATTTTTTTAAAGTGTTGATTTATTTAAAAGGGATTTATTTTTGGCTTCACATCATGTATGTCAATTTGAAAAAACAGTTTTGTGTAGATTTTACTTTAAAACTTTGATAAAAGGCTCAGAAACTGTTACTGCATGGTATCATCTCAAAAGAAGTTTGTCATTTTTCTAGCTTTTGGTGAAAGGGATACAAATGTATAAAGCTCGAGACATAATTGAAGGAGGTGGAAGTTTCGACTGGTGCCAGAGGTAAAATTAGCAAGAAAATTGCGTTCAAGTTTAGAGACTTCCAAAGTTTGAGTGTCCTTAGAAACTGTAAATTTACATTGTAGTCGAAACTGATTAAAACACATTAATGTGCGCTGCATTTTATTCAGTATCGAGTGCAATGACGATTACTTTAAAGGCATTTCAATAACTTATGACTTCGTCATTCGAATGATTTAAGACAATCGAAGGTCAAAGGGAAGTTGAGCAACAGATAAGTCGATCGAGGATGTTCCCGAGCAAACATCCGCGCCAGGAGAGACAGGCATATTATTGTTTGTCTGTTGTAATACAGTAAGAGCTTTACGGCACTTGCAATACAATACATCCATATACGTGCCAAAGATTAGATGTGTTTTACAAGAAAGTAACATGGAACAAAAAAGAAAGAGAAGAGATACATATGATAGATGTTTGATAGGAAAGAATGAGCTAACCACACCAGAGCCCCCGCCAACCACCAAAGGCTTACCTTGGCGATGACCACACTGTCCGCCCTCTCTACGGCCTGCTCCGCCCACACGTCCACATGCTCGATGAAGTTCTGCCGGATTCTGGGGAGTCGTGAACGGACAGGTGTTGTTAGCAACAAGAAATAAGAAAGTTTAGTTAGAGTAAGCGTTTTACAACACATTATTTACAACTTATAGTGCCGAAGATTAGAGGTGTTAAAAGAAAAAAAAAGGAGATATAAGCACGTCAACGTGCTCGATGAAGTTTTGCCGGATTCTGGGGAGTCGAGAACGGACATGTGTTGTCACTCACAAGAAATAAGATCGTTTATTTAGCGTAAGCGTTTTACAACACAAAATTTACAACTTAGAGTGCCGAAGATTAGAGGCGTTACAAGAAAGAAAAAACACAAAAAAGAAGGAGAGACAAGCACGTCGAAGTGCTCCGTGAATATCCGCCGGATTCTGGGGAGTCGTCAACGGACAAGTGTACTTAGTCACAAGAATCGAGTTAGTTTAGTTTGAGTAAGCGTTTTACAACACAATAATAGAACTTATACTTATAATGCTGAAGATTAGAGGTGTTACAAGAGAGGAACAAACACAAAAAAGAAGGAGAGATAGACACGTTTAAATAAGCTCGATGAAGTCTGCCGGATTCTGGGGAGTCGTCAACGGAAAAGTCTTCTTAGTCTCAAGAAATAAGTAAGTTTAGTTTGAGTAAGCGTTTTACGACACAATAATAGAACTTATACACTTATAGTGCCGAAGATTATAGGTGTTACTAGAAGAAATTGACAAATACATAAAAGAATGAGATATAAGCACGTCAACGTGCTCGATGAAGCTCTGCCGGATT